AAATTTTTAATTTGAATATAAAATAATTATTAAAATAAATAATAATTGTTGCCATAAATTAGTGTTTCTTAACATTTATTGAAATAGTTTTCAAGTGTTAGGCGTGTATTGACTCACAAACTGTAATGAAAACGTTTTGTATAAGTTTGCACAAAAGTTAATCATTTTGTGATTTTTAAACACATTTTTAAATTTATACTAATAATTGTGAATCAATTGGTGTTTTAATTGCATTAAATTGCACTCAAAATGTGTGACAATTTAGTCAATAATTCAATTAGTGGTCAAATGAAGTCAAAACTGAATTTATTATCAAATCTAAAGGCTTTTGATAAGAATTTGTGTGAAAGAGTCACTCAATTGAATGCAAACTATGTTTCACTCAATAGTCATGAATTGAATGACAAATCAATTGAATTAATAAATTGTCGCAAATTTGTTGAGAATTAATGGAAATAATAATCCATTGAATGGTGGGCATGAAGAGCACCGGGAGATACAGGCATGGGATGGAGCTATGGATGAGAGTAGTGGTGAACCCGAAGTACATGTGGTGTCAGAGGAGATACACGAAGTGCAGACTTTAGACACAGAGACAAAGATGAGACGAAAGGACCGGAAGAGATGTCGGAATCAGAAGAGGACGGAGAGAGTGGTGTCGGAGACCAACACAAAGACACTCCAGAAGTGACAGAAGGAGGCGATGGGAGGGAAGGCATTGATAATTGTGAACCAAATGAAGGTAATGGTGCCCTTAATTCAGGTGATCAACCATTTGTGTGTTTTTGGCCCAAATGTGGCAAACGATTCACTTATAAATCACATCTCAATCGACACAAAAGTGCCGTCCATTTGAAGCTCAAGAGATTCATCTGTGATGTCAATGGCTGTGGTCAACGGTTTTCTCAGAAGTCTCATCTCAATCAACACAAAAACATACATTCGGGAAGAAAGCCTTACAAATGCAATGAAATGGATTGCGGCAAATGTTTTTCACAACATTCATGTTTATATCATAAAATTCTGGTTCATTTGAAGGAAAAGAGATTTAATTGCGATTATAAAGGATGCGATCAAAGGTTTGCATTTAAAAAGGATTTAATTGCTCACAAACGGGTTCACTCGAGAGTGAAACCCTTCGCCTGCTATGTCATGGATTGCTACAAACGATTCGCACAGAAATCAACCCTAAATCGACACACACATAGCATTCACTTGAAACCCACACCATTTGTCTGCGATGACAGCAATTGTAACAAACGTTTTACACGACAATATGATCTGGATCATCACAAACGCGTACATTCAAGAAACGCATAATTATCACATTTATATTACCGTAGAATTGCCGAAAGACTTGTTATTGATATTGAAGGTTGTAATACAAATTTCTTATATTATAATTTCAATTGTATTTTAATTGTGTTTATACAGTACTGTTAACAAACTGATACCTGTATAACAATAATTGCTATAATTTATAATTATATTAATTTAGTTTTTGTCAAATCTAAAATCAGTAATCAGTTTCATGATAATTAATAAAACAATTTGTTTGCGAAATACTAATAAATTTGATTTATTTGATGATCACATTTAAAGTCAATTACAGACAACGAGAATAGGAATTAAAATTAAAATTATCGCTCAATTCCTTTCAAACATATCTTTCAAACATTTATACAAAAAACAATTTAAAGTATATATAGGTATCCGAAACCAAATGACATGCCTGTCCTAACAGCCGGGCACTAACTGCTTCTCCTTACAGGTGCCGTCCTTCTCGTCAAACACGAGAACCCCATCGTACAAAAAACATAATTTAAAGTATATATCGGTATCCGAAACCAAATGACATGCCTGTCCTAACAGCCGGGCACTAACTGCTTCTCCTTACAGGTGCCGTCCTTCTCGTCAAACACGAGAACCCCATCGCAGGCCTTCTTCTCGTCGCTATATATTCCGGGAAACATTTCGGTGCACTTATGGTAATAGTGACAGTCCTTGGGGTCCCGAACCAGCCCTGCCTTCGTGCATATGGTACCGGGTGGTGGTGTGGGCTGAGTGGGGGCAGAGGTGGGGCCGTGTGTGGGCTCAACCACCGGGTCTTTGTTCAGACCCTTATTGATAGCCTTCAGGAGCGGGAATTTCTCGCCGCACAGACCCCTAAAGTCATCGTAGGCGAGCGCCTGGGCTACAACACCGCCGAAGCCCTCAGTGGTAATGGCCTTCGTCTTGTCCTCACACGAGTGGATGTCTTCATATGTGATCCAATTCCTGCCGTTCACGGCGTACACCGACATCTCCTTGTCCTCCCTGTGCAACACCCAACCCGTCGGGTCTTTCTTGACTTCAGTACAGAACTAGTCATTCGAATGGCATTTAAATTGTTAGTATTTTTCGGGAAAACAGGGATAATCTGGTGAACGATAGTAGAGGTGATCGGCGTTTACCTCATTATAGAAGAGTTTGCCTTCCGATTGACTCCACGGGCCCATCTTTCCAGGACCGGTAGCCTCGGCGCCGAGATCTGTTTTGGTGGGATCGGCCAGAATCCAGGTGTGGCCGTACAGCGGAATTGTCGGCTATTTATAACAGAAAACATTTGTAAATAACATTTTAAAGTTGTATTGGATTATATGATAATATGACATACAATGATCTTGGTCATAGTGGCGCCGTTCTTAAACCACGCCCTCGCTGAGTCCAATGTCCAGCTAATGGGGTCCTCGAGTCCCACCGCCTTCTCCCACGAGCCGTGAAAGTCATACGTCTGTACGGCTATTATGTCGACCAAACTGTGCGTTGAATACAAATATTATTTAAAACTAAAAGACAATTATTTTATGAAAACATACGAATCAACTTTGGCCACATCGAGACCGGTAACCTGGACGCCAACAGTGATACCCAGGGTATATTTGGTGGTAAATTCGGCGCGAATACTGGTCAACAGTTTGACGAACCCCTCGGCCTCCGAGGCGGTGAACTGGGCCTTCGGAGTCCAGTCCAACATAACGCCGTCAAAGTTATAAGTCTTCAGGAATGACATGAGACTGTTGGTGAAGGTCCTGATGTCCGAGTCGGTGGACACCACTTGCGTGAAACCCGCCGAATAGGAGTAGCCACCGATGGCTACCAGTGCCTGTCCTTTGCCCTTGCCTTTGGAGAATTTGTCCAAATCGTCTGCAAATGGGTTAAGACTTTTGTGGTTAGGATTGAGATAATGATTGAGTGAATTGTGTAAGACTTACGCAAGTCTTTCATGAGGTAGTCGTCGCCCAGTTTGATAGTACTGTCCCTATCAATGCCCTGATAGGCGTACACGAAATGAGTACATTGGGTATTGTCTGTGGGTTTACATGGAAAAGGTTTTTGTTAATTAGTTTTTAGAAATTATTAGTTTTGCGAGGAATGGTAGGTACGCACCGATATGCTCGACAGTCATCTTTCCGTCGCCGGTACGCCAATAGACTGTGTATTAAAATGAAATAAAATTAGTTTTTTAAAAGTCATTTATTTGGCTAAATAGTGGTAATTCTAGTCAATACATACACCAGTCCTCATAATAACAGACCACTTTCGGATTCAATACACAATTTATTTGTCCAAAACATATGAGAATTGAACAAACAATTAATGTTTGTCTCAACATTTTTGTTGAATTTTTTGGTACAGAATATGAAATAAATAATAAGTTTTTAAGAGTTATATGAAATGATAACTTAATAAATAAATTATAGTCTGAGTTGACTGTGAAGTGACTGAATGTTATGAGAGTATGCGAGGAGTTTATATAATAGCATCAAATCCTGAAACTAATCAATTAGTTGATCGATAAGTGGTAAGACTTTGACAAACAATTTGCGATAATTACCCTTAAAAAGGTACTAAAAAAGTTTTTATCACAAACCACTCTTACCTTGAATTTAAAGACAATTCAGTTGTAGTAACTATTATCAGAGCTTTTTTTATAAACAAACTTTGGATTATGTTGTATGATATTGAATTGCATTAATACAGGCAATTGAAAAATATATGTCTTATTAAATTTTTTTCAAAATGGTATTATTTTCGCGATATTTTCGCGATTAGATACCAATTTCTCGGTATTCAATCATTAAATAGAAAATAATTGCTACCTGGTAAACTTTATAAAACAAATAATTAGCTGTAAAATTGTTATCAATTATAAGATATTACAAATTAAAAGTTATTTTTAATCCCAAAACATGTCGTTTACTGTAATCTTACGGATAGAGATGTATTATATTGATAGTGCAATTAGTTTAAATGGTGTATTGTACACTGATCATATCATATTTGTAATATGATATTACTTTTAGCTAATAATATAAGTGTTTTTATAACCCTTTAAGAACATACCAGGATCACTTGGCTACTTGACAATTAAATAACCCAGACAATAAGGCAGGTATAACCCACACTCAATCTGATATAATTACAGTATATCTCATATACGGATGTATTGGGAAAGTATCCTTGAATATTTAATTCAGTGTTTCTATTAAGGATTAATTATAACTAATGTTACCACAAGTTATGAGATTTTGAAATAATTGTTTGTTTTATTAGACTAAAGTTTCTACAGAATTTGTTACACAAACATGAATTTTAACTTATTTTATCAGGCTCTTATTACATTAGCAATAAATGTGGGATTAATTTATTAGGAAATCACTGTTTATTTGTTTAATATTTGTTGCAAAATAAAATTGTTTTCATGAAACACAGATATGTTATCAATTTTTTATTTAAAATTAAATAATAAATTAGCAATTTAATATGTTAACAATTATAAATAAATATTTGTATTTTACTAATAATTCTAAATGTGTAAAATGATTGAGCTATCACAAATAAATTGTATTTATTATAAATAAATAGTTTTAAAAATTATAGTACAGTAAATGTTATCTAGCTAGTGTAAAAAAATAGAGATACAGTACATAAAATTTTCCAGGATAATTTTATACATAATTATTTTAATTTGACTAGTTGTTTGCTCAAATAAGTACAGTACTAAAAGCTGATAAATAATTTTACAATAATTAAAAATACAAATATTAAATAATTTATTAATGCTTACTTTAAAAGTTTTATTGGAAATATTAATTAATAATATTCATTGGAAATTATAAAACATGCTTGATTGTATTAGATTATACTATAAAAGTGATAATAAAATTGAAAATAATATTAAAATCTAATTACTTTACTGTAATAAGTTTTTATTAAAGTTATGGCAAAAGTCTTGCAAATGAGAAAAATAATTAAATTTTTACTTTTGAGTCATTTATTGGTAAGATTTTGAAAAATTACAATAAATTAGACACACTACTACCGCTATTGTGTACACCATAATTATTTATCGGGTATATCACCATGCATTTAATGTACTGTATATACAGTAGCTAAAATTATACAGAAGTTATAGAAACTATTTGTAAATAAATCAATTATACAGGAATTGAACTATATTTATTTGTTTCATTGATTAATAATCAGTGATTGAATAATGAGAAAACAGTGATACAGAAAACTGCATACAATGTTAAGCACTGTATTAATATTGTATTGCAAATTGAAGTTCAATAAAACTGTAGTCAATTGAAAAACTGTACGCAAAGTCTCGCTCGCGTAACAAAACGCGTGCATTTGAATAGCATTTGAAAAAAGTGTTACAAAAAAAGTTTTCTAACGTTTAGTGTTAATCCAGATTTGATTATACGTTACGCCTATTCACTGATTGTAATCGCATTAACGGATTAAAACTGTTCATCTCATATCCATTACCACTGATAAACACCTTTTCATACCTCACTCTAGTGTTCAAACTTTTCAAGTAATAGTTTTTGTCGTTGTATTCAAAGTATGGACTCATTTGACGAGACCTCGAGGTCGCCAATGGATGAGTCCATTGATAAGAGTTGTGACGACAGGAGTCTGTCTGTGAGGTCACCACCGGATGACACTGTAGTGGTTGACAATGAGTG